TTATCATAATCGGGCACAAGTCAACGCTGATTGCTGTATTAACGCACCGTAATTTGTTTTTTAGAAATGCAGAGACTTTGATCGTGTTCCTTTAGGTGTAGTCTGACAGGGAACATGTCTGAATGAGATTGTCTTTTGAAGTCCTGTTTGAAATGCTGCATAGGCAACTACATCTCTTTTAAACACAGTGTAGCATCAGCGTTTGTTTTACTGATGTGTCTTTTAAACGAAATACTAAAATACTTAGATTTAGCATAGTAGTGGCATACTAGGATGTTTTTGTAATCATTTTTTTTTTACTAGCTGGCAATAATAAATAAATACACTGTAAATAAACTGAAACCACTGAAAACATGGGTCTAGTTTTAATTTTTAATTACAGCACCGTTTCCTTATCCAGTAAAGTAAAGGAGTAAAGTAAAGAGGTCGAATGGCTTTCTCGCTAATGTTTTCTCGCTAGTGAAGCTTACAAAGTCCTCCATGTAAATAGCAAATGTGCCATGGTGTGATGCAACTGACTGTTAAAGAAAATGGGAGATGAGACTCTGAATGGTTTATGGCACGTTATGCTCAAAACACACCTATAACTCATTAAGAGAATAAGCTCAACCCTGTTAGACCATGTGTCAGGGCGCCAAACATATTTTTTTTGTCCTTAAAATAGCAAAAGTGGATTCGGGCACACACTTAATGCTTTTGCGCCATGCACTTTAGACTTGCACCTAGATCATTAAAATAGAGACCTAAAAGCCCTTAGAGCCCTGAAACAGACCAAAAAAGTAATTTCAAATTATTTTAATTAGTTTATTTCAAAGAGGGATTGGGGAAAGCATCGAAGCAGTTTTCTATATTATCATTTATTAAAAAAACTTCTGTCTGCTAAATCAAGCCATTTGTATTTCTCTATTGTTTTTTTTTATTATGTTTTCAAGTAATCATTAATCAAGTACGTTAAGCTAAAGTTTAAAAGTGGCATGAAATTTTAACAAAACAAAACCAACAAGAACTTTTCTGAAAGCTTTGGCACATGCAAATGAAATAATTTTTAATTTCCTTTATCCTGGAAACTCGTATTGACCCAGGTAACAGTCTAATAAATGGGGGAATTTGCTTAATTCTGTTCAGTCAATAGAGCAGAAGAGACTCGGAAAACACTCACCGTAAGAAATGCAAATGCTTCTGAGGAACGATCATCTTTCATTAAACTAATTATATCAGTGCGTCTGCTGCACAGGAAACAAGCTGTCAGTGCCAGCAGAAACTTCCTGTTTGAAGAACAATCAGTCGTTGGTTCTTTTATTAGTTTCTCTCCATATGCAAGAAGCTAAACTGCATGCAGGTTTAAAATTACCTTGATGAACGGCTTGGAAGAAGAAGTCAAATGATCTGAAACGGTGCCTGTTTATTCAGACATCACACCTCTGCATGATGAGAGACAGCCAATAAAACTGGTCATTCCATTCTAATGAAATTCACAGCACGCCATTCAAACGCTAGCACTCGGAAGAGGAATGTCCATTAATATCACATTGTGTCATTTCCTCCTAGAAAAGCAGTTCATACAAATGCTGGAGTGGCTTTTGATATCTTGGATTACAAAAAACTGTTGCACAATATGAGTTTCTGCTTTCTTTGAAACGTTGTAAAGCACCAGAGGAAAAACATTTGAGGATAAGAGTATGCAATGTAGAGAAGCAAACTACAGAAGTGAGTAGCACTTTCTGTGAAGCCTGTATTTGTAATAGATCAGGCTGTTCGTAATGTCTATAAGAGATATACTGTAAAATGCCTTATAAGTGACGTTATAATGTAACAGCAGTAAAATACTGCTATAATTTTAGCCATCAAAGTTATAACGGATCATACTGTATATCCCACACTTCAAACTTTAGGCCATATGATTTTTTGTGGCCTGTGAGAGCATATGATTCAGTCATTTGTGCAAGTAGGTTACCGCATTTGCTGTGAACACACAGAATTTGCTTCAATCACTTCTTTCGTGCAAGATTGTATTGTCTGACATTTGCAAATGTCTATCTGTCACTCATTAGCAGCTCAAAATGATTTGTTGTTTCATAGTTCTGCATCTCTCAGATGTGACACTGTTTTGGAGAAAGGCAATGACTTGTGTCTGATGATTGTCTATGTTATTTACTTAGATGGAGTAATGTGTTTTTCTTTTAACTTGATAAAAGGTTTCATGTTAAAATATTATAGAGAACTAAGTTATATTTTACATTTATGCAAATACATGTATTTATTTGTTACTTCAATATGGTGTAAGGAAGTAAAGGGACAATTAAATACAGAATAAATTTTACATTTGTATTATTTGTTTACAAAACTGTCATTAATCTTGTTCCTCAGTATCTTACTGACTTGCTCTGTTTGTATACCCCCTCTTGTTCATTAAGATCTTTTGATCTCAATTTACTCACTGTACCTACAACATGGCTTAAAAAAACAAGGTGATCGAGCATTTACAGTTGCTGGTACTAAACTCTGGAACAGTCTACCAATTCACAGTAGACTTCCCCCCTCCATTTCTATGTTTAAGTCCATTTAAAAGACCTATCTTTTCACTCTGGCTTTTAATACTTTTTGATCACTGCTTTATTGATTTTGTTTGTTAAATGTTTCTTTTATATTCTGCTTTCTTCCCTGTCTATAGTACTCCCATGTAAAGCAGTCAAGTCAACTTTGGTTGTTTTTATAAATAAACTTAAAATAAACTTTATAAATAAGTATTGTGTTGTATTGTATTGTAATTATTTAACAATTTGTTATTTAGGACAAGTAACACCTTACAGACTGTAGGCCCTTTGAGAGCAGCCATAATGCAGTTGACACCCCTGATATGTCCCATTAGTCTCAAATATTCAGGTTTCCTGAGTTTCACATCTTGTTTTCTTAATATCTTAGCTGTATACTACATCTTACACTCTTTTACTGCAAAAAAAAAAACAAAACAAAAACAAAGCATATAAAAGAATGAAGACTAAAAATATTGCTTTGTAGAATTGTTAGTGGATTACATTGCAATTTGATCATTATAATCTAAGAAAAAATTATATAAATAAAAGAATATATATATATACACACACACACACTTGAAGTCAGAATTATTAGCCACCCCTTTGAATTTTCTTTCTTTTTTAAATATTTCCCAAAGGATGTTTAATGGAGCAAGGAAACTTTTACAGTATGTCTGATAATATTTTTTCTTTATTTTTGGCTAGAATAAAAGCATTTATACATTTTTTATTCCCAATTTAGGGACAAAATTATTAGCCCCTTTAAGCTTAATTTTTTTCCGATAGTCTACAAAACAAACCTTCGTTATACAATAACTTGTCTAATTACCCTAACCTGCCTAGTTAACCTAATTAACCTAGTTAAGCCTCTAAATGTCACTTAAAGCTGTATAGAAATGTCTTGAAAAATATCTAGTCAAATATTATTTACTATCATCTTGACAAAGATAAAATAATTCAATTATTAGAAATGAGTTATTAAAACTATTATGTTTAGAAAAGTGTTGAAGAAATCTTCTCTCCGTTAAACAGTAATCGGGGAAAAAATAAACAGGGGGGCTAATAGTTCTGACTTCAACTGTATATTTGTAAAACTGTAGGCCTTTGAATGTGTTTGAGCATAAAATAAATACATTCTGTTAAATATATTAAACTTAAAAAATAGTCACTTGGTTGGTGCTATTACTTCTAAATATATAATATTTTTATATATAATTTTAGAAAAAAAATACAGTACATTAACTTAATTTAAATGAGTAAAAATGTTTTTCTGTAAAACATTAAAAGTATTTATCTGTAAAATTTTATATATTTTGCACTTTATTTAGAAAACTATATGTTACTGTCATTTAACAGATTTAGTTTCTCAGCTGTCAATCATTTGACTATTTTTGACTATTTTTATAGTACATAATATGGCAACACTTTAGCATTCTCAAATTGATCAGCATTCATATTGGCTGTTTCTTAGTACTTATTGCTTTCTAATAGCTATAAGATACCGTAAAGTGGTAATAAATAATTTCCTATAAAAAGTATAATAAAATTGTGTGCAAAATTACAAAATAGCTTTTTTAGCTACATTTTCAATTCATACCATTTGAATTAATAGAAAACATACAACTGAATCTAGTTTTACTAAATCTATACCTATTTAAATGGCAGCATGGTATTTATATTAGAAACAAAAAGGAAGCTGAAAAACATAAAGCATAAACCGTCGATTGTATTTAGAAGTTTTTTATATATATATATAGTATATGCATGTAATTCTTACTTTTATTTATGTGCAATTTATTGCTTTTTTTTTCCTAAACATTAGTGAGGAAGAAAAGCATTTTAAAATAAAAAGTTATATAAGCATTAATGCATAATGCATGCATATATTCAACTGTTGTTATGATCATTTATCAGATTATGCAAAATATTATGCGTTTGTTTTTAAGTGATTATGCATGCATCGTAATGCATTAAGAATACCCCTGTCACCAAGCAATGTTTAGGGTAAAAATAAATGTTGCATATCAAAATGCTTCATTTAGCTATGATCATTCAAAGTTTTTCAAAACCATCATCATACTAAACAACATCAAACTCATATCTGCTTGTCCTCTTTAAAAAAAAAAAACATCCAGAATTCTCTTCAAGCCGAAGAAAAGATGAACATTTGAAGTGTTGAGCTGTCCATAAATCTAAGCGGGAGATTGTAAATGATATGAAAGCAGATGTTGATTAGAGCTGGAGCAGAACAGCAGGGACCCCCTGCTGAATGTGGAGACAGAGCTTCTCCCTTCTTCAAACCAGGACTTTACCTCCTTTAGAGTTACAGTATTCAAAGATGGTTTAAAACACTGATATGTACAGATGCTTCGACATATTGTGCTGAAACAAAAGTGTACCCATGCAAGCAGCTGCCTGTTATGAATATTCAATCATGATGCTCATTTTTATTTTTATTTTTTGAAGGTCTGACAGTGTTGCAGAAGATCTTAGACACTGCAGCTGAGAAGACCTGGCAGGTGACGTCCATAAACTTTGACACACTGACAGAAGCGGCATTCCTGAAAGCCATCCAAGATCTGGATAATAAGAAGGAGTTCAAGATCATTCTGGACTGTGAGCTGGAGAGACTCAACTCCATCTTAAACCTGGTAAATTCATTTATTCATTCATTTTCCTTCGGTTTAAGCCCTTATTTATTAGGGGTCGCCACAGCAGAATGAACCGTCAATTATTCGAGCAAATATTTGACACAACAAATGCTCTTCTAGCTTCAACCCAGTACTGGGAAACACCCTTACACTCTCACTTTCACACACACATACATTACGGCCAATTTAGTTTATCCAATTCCTCTAAAGCACATATCTTTGGACTGGGGGGGGAACCGGAGCAGCCAGAGGAAACCCACATGAACAATGAGAGAACATGCAAACTCTACACAGAAATGCCAAAAGGGACTTGAACCAGCAACCTTCTTGCCGTGAGGCAACAGTGCTATCCACTGAGCCACCGTGCTGCCCATGTGAATGCTTCATGCTTGTTTTTTTTTTTTTTTTTTTATGTATATATTGACCATGCATTGTGGTCATTTATAATCAGGTTGATGGCCCAGCCTGAAATGTACCATTTTCTGCTTTGATTTTGGGGAGAATACTGTGAAATTCAGTGAAATGACTTGACTAGAAAATGTGTTAAATGTTGCTATAAGTTGTAATGTAGCTATAAAGTTATAACTTAAATGCATTAAATATTTAATGTAGTTTAAATTATACAAAAAAAGTTTGCCTTTGCTTTGCAATACCTATGGGTGCGGTAAGTAAAGTCCTGCTTTCATTTAAGTATGGCCATGTTGCTCGAGGATCATACTGGACACAAAAATGATCTAGCACATATGACAAATAACATATGGCAAATTGCTATAAGTAATTGTAATTGAAATGTTTTCATCAAAAATGGTGTAAAGCTATCTGAGGGGTTTCATCAGAACATAACGGCATAATATATAATATATATTCCAGAACTGTCAAGAGCACCTGTGATCTGCGTCTCAAACACCAACATGTTAATTGCGTGTCAGCATTGCCTTCTGAGCCGCAAGTAATTTATTAAATAAAGAAATGATTCACGCAGTTTCTCCTACCTCAATAAATTACATTTTTACTGTTGATATTTGGTGCCAGTTAATCAGAAAGTGACGATTTTGTTCTTTTATACTCATTGAATGGAAACGCTGCTTTATTTGCATTCTTTTATGGTTTAGCTTTTTATGGTATGCGCATAAATTTAATTCACATCTTTAGATGGATATGTAGCTACTAAAGTATCAAGGACTGGTTACCTAGACTTTATAATCACCTCTTACACACACTTTGCTGAGTCTTGTGAGTTTGTTATCTTGGTGCAGGGGAAAACCCTGAAGTGTTACTGGGTGGGTGGAAATTTGATTAAAAATTATGTTACAGTCAATGTAATTGAAGTAACCTTACTGTATATGGCTCTTTGCCCAATAAAAGTTAAGACTTTGAAAAAGTTTTTGGAACTTCTAATAAAAAACACCTTCACTTTAAGCCAGTGCCTTCATGGAACATCATCTTCTTAGACAGAACATGATTCTTCTGTACACTTTTTTAAAGTTATGACATGCCTCTAGCAGAAAGACAACGGATTCCTCCTTCAGGCAAACCAAGCCAATTACTCTCCTCACTACAAACCCCATCCAGACATGACAAGATCTGAGAGAAAGCGCTGCCAAAGCCGATGATCAGAAATCTGCATTCGATAAAATTAACCCCAGCAGCGATGTGTTTCCTGCTGCCGCTCACAGGTGTTCCTACGCTCCTCATGTACATGTAGTCATTAAGTCTTATAATTGGACTTCCTATGGCGGCAGATGCCAAATCTTTCTTTCTTCCTCCATCTCGACTGCCCCTTCTGATCACAGATATTGCAGACACTCAGTGAGCTCTGCAATGGTGTGCAATTAAGGCCTGAATGATGGGACCTATTCATCGCTATTTAGAGAGCCAGGCTAAAAATTATGCTTTAATTGGTGTTGAATGAAAGAGGGCTGCCATTAGCTGACACAGAGAGAGAAGATTGTGGTTTTTTGCCCTGATGTATGGTGCATTTGTCTTTCAGATCGCAGCGCAGAAAAAAAACTTGAAGAACTACCATTACATACTAGCAAACCTGGTAAGTGAAGTGTCTTGTGTCCTCTTTGGTTTGCATGAATGAACCATGAGCCTTGAGGCTTTTTAAGATGAGTTGTCGGTTAACCTCTCGCACATCACAAGGGAACGCTTTAACAAATTGATGGTGGTGGTTTATGTTGCATGGCTACTTTTTTCTACTTTTTTTTTCTGTGTGACTGGGAGAGTTCATGATTTTGAATGCAGCACACAATGCTGACAGATTGCAGAATTACTCTCTGTGCTGACCGAATTTGCATTTGTTCTCTTTCTGGAAGGCATTAGATGCCTTTTTTGCATGAATGAGAGTGGGAATGTGTGGCAGGGGTGTAGCAATCATTATCATATATGCACTTTTGAAAATTTGAGTCTTATTTTTATTCTATTTTATGTTATTATTTATTAAAGTTTATACTAATATAAAGTTTTATATATTTTTATATGACTCTTATGTCAGGAGTCTAGAGTTTTTTTTTATTTAATTTAATTTCATATTAAACTTCATTTTGTTTTGTTTTGTTTTAATATTTTTTTTTATTTAATTTGTTTTGTTTTGATTATTTTTATTTATTTTTATTGAATTGTGTTTTGTTTTATTAAAATTTTTATTTAATTTAAAAAAATTAATTATTATTTTATTTTATGAAAGAATACTCACTCACTCTCCTTTGGCTTAGTCTCTGATTTTTCAAGGGTGGCTACAGCAAAATGAACTGCTAATTAATCTGGCATATGCTCTATGTGCCGGATCCCAACATCCCAACCCTGAGAAACATCCATACAATCTTACATTCGCACACAGTCATTCATTCACTTTGGCCCAAACACTGGGGAACCATGCAAACTTCACACAAAAGGCCTCATGAAAGATTAAATTGAAGCAAAATATTTAATTAAATTTATTCAATAATTGAAAAATAAGGTTTTATTTACTTTTATTTGTTTCCTTGTTTCTGTTTTAGTTTAGTTCAGTTTCTGTTTTAATATTATATGAGTGCATTTAGAAAAAGCTGAATAATTATTGCTCAAAAAACCTACTGTACTAATACAGCACTCATTAACAAGTTATTAAATTATTAAATAAATTATTAAATGATTAAGTTATTAAATTAATTAATATTAAATTATGGTTTCATTTATTAAATTTATTCAATTATTTCATTTATATATTATATAATTATATTATATTTATTTATATAATATCTCTTATTTTACAGTTATTTTTAGTTTTCAGTGATGGCTTAATATTTCATAGCAACTATTTTTTAAATTTTTTATTGGAGTAATTGCTTTGAAAGCAATTTTCTGACTGAATGAAGACACTGTAATACAGCAATGTGACTTCACAGGAGAAATAGTAAATATTTAATTTGGTTGTTCATGGGGAGAAGAAAATTCTTCAAACTTCCCTTTTGTCAAGAGCATAATCCAGTTCAGCAGTGATGACGAGAGATGTCAACCCATGAGCCATTTTTCAAGGGTTATACAGCAAGGATGCAACAGTTTGCATCATAGACTCCCCTGGGGTTTATCACTGCATGGGCCGGTCACCCAAATGAGCAAACATACACACAAACACAATTAACTGTTATCACACAGATACTGTGATATTTAACCAGCATGTCACTGTATCATTAGCTCTTACACTGACTATTGTATCACAATATCACACAGATAATTGTAATGCTCCTAGATGATTGCTCTTGGGTATTTATTTTTCTATTTTTAGTCTATTTAAGAGGGTATAATTATGCCTAAAAAGTGTTCTGATATTGATTATGGGTTTATATTGTGGTCTGTAGCTCTGTTTTTATGTCATTGTTAAATTTAAAGGGGTAGTTCACCCAAAAGTTACAATTCTGTCATCTTTTACTCACCTTTCACTTGCTGAAAACCTATTTGATTTACTTTCTTTTTTTAAACTTAAAAGAAGATATTTAGAAATATTCAGCAGAAGAAAGAAACTAAACAAGATGAAGGAGAAAAAATACAAGGTGATTATCATTTTTGGGTGAATCATTCCTTTAATTTTAAATTTTTGGAAATTGTCTTTTCTTAAAGTGTTTTTGTTTTTTTGTTTTTTGTTTTTTAATTTAAAGAAAAATAAATCTATTTGGAATTATTTTTGTTCACAGCATTTTAGTAATAATAAATGAGTGTATATGAACCTTTGACTTTGTAAAAATAAACAATTCATCCAATGGTTTGTTTTTTATTATTTTTTATTATTGTTTTTTTTATTATTTATTCTAAATATATTTAGAATAAATAGATTAACACATATTTCATTATAAAATTTAAACAACATTTTACAAAAATTATAATATGCAAATGTTTGCAGTTCTTAATGTAAACAATTAATCGGGGAAGCACAATTATGAGTATTAGTAAACTTTTTACTCTAATCACTTGCTGCGTCTTGCTTATGCCTTCAGTAAATATTAGAATTAATTACATCATTCACGTTGTATTTAAATTACATTCAAACTACGTTGTCTGAAAAGTAATTTAATTATTTAATTAGTAACTTAATTACCTGATTCAGTAATACTTAAAAGTACAAATGAAAGTATTACAATTCTTTAAATTTGACAACCTTTAGTGTTTAAAAAAAAACACTTAAGAAAAGTTAAACATGTATCAAAAAACAAAATGTTTCAAAGTAATAATGACACCATATTTCAAACATTGAAAGCATACATCGATCTATTGACATTAAATTACAGCTCAATTCACTGTTCAATACAAAGGTGTATTTATCTGAAAAATCTAAACTTTAGCTAAGTTGAGGTAAATATATTTGTATAACATACAGTGGCAATCAGAATTATGGCACAGTGCCTGATAATATTTTTTCTTCTGGGATTTGTTTTATTTTGGCTAGAATCAAAGCAGTTTTTTTATTTTGTAATAACATTTCAAGGTCAAATTATTAGCCCCTTTAATTTCTTCTTATTATTATTATTATTTTTTGATAATCTACAGAACAAACCATCATTATACAGTAAATTGCCTAATTACCCTAACCTGTCTAGTTAACCTAATTAACCTAGTTAAGCCTTTAAATGTCACTTAAAGCTGTATAGAAGTATTTTGAAAAATATCTAGTCAAATATTATATACTGTCATCATGACAAGATAAAATAAATGTTATCACAAATGAGTTATTAAAAATATTATGTGTAGAAATGTGTTTAAAATCTTCTCTCCGTTGAACAGAAATTGGGGGAAAAATAAACAGGAGAAAAGTAGAAATAGAAAACTTACTTTTCAATAGAAAATTACAGTAATTAGTTACTTGTTACTTTGCAACTAAATGCACCCAATGATTTTAATAGATTCAAACTCACTGTACAATATTACGATACAATAATTTGCATTTTGCATTAGAGTCCTTAAACTTGCCCATTAGTCTGTGCATCAGAGCAAGACTGATAGATATTAGACATACTGTATGAATAAATGCAGATTGTGATGTGTTTGATCTCCTTCAGGGATTTCTGGATCTTAATCTCACTGAGTTCAGGAAGGGAGGTGCAAATGTGACAGGCTTCCAGCTGATGAACTACACAAACCCTACTGTCAGCAGGACAATACAGGACTGGCTGGAGTTTGACAGTAAAGACTTGAAAAGCCCCAAAAGGAGACTCAAGGTAAAGCAAGGTCGTAGTCATGAAATATGATTTGAAATTTTCTCATAAAAAACTCAAAAAGAAGTCTGTCTAGCTGAAAAGACCTTGAATTTACATATCATCACCTAATACTTAAACACCCCATGGTGAAAATTATGCTTTTAGCATTGTTTATTTGTCTGTTTTGAATATGGATATGAAAACAACAAAAACAGAACAACAACAACATGTTATTACATCAGTCAACACAGTCTCAAACATGCAGTTTCACACTTAGATATGCTTGGCGTAATGGCAGATTTGGCATGAGTTGTCTCTGGAGAGAACCCTGAGCTCGGAGATAATTGAACAAAAGACCCCCGCCTAGTCAAAAAGCATATAAGGGGGTTGCAAGCAGGGTGTTATACATTGGATCAGGAAAACTTTACTTTTTTGTTAAGTTTTCAGTTAATTAAATTGATTTATTTATTTATTTAAATGAGCTCAAATTCATTAACATGATGTATTTAAATTTTCAGTGTTTTGATAGATATTAAATGTATTCTGACATACAGCAACCTGATTATTTCAGAGTTTACTTGCTCAAACTATTCCAACCATGCATCTAATTTTACTTTACTTTTAGGCTATGTAAATATAAACACCCATTTCGCAAGGAAACTGTCTTGTGACCCCTTACGATATCCATTGCATCTCTAGATCTGCTTGTTTACTGTTGAATGATTCTTGCAGACTAATTAGCACAATGATATGATGGCATGCTATTATAGGGGTGGTCAAATGTATGTTTGTATTATCTGTTATTTTAATTATTAATATTATTATTATTTAAGATATAGATCAGGGAACCCCCCCCCCCCCCATCACATTCTTCTCTTAAAGTTAGTTTATAAAACTTAACTTTGCATAAATTATGAAGGAGAATTTATATTTTTGTGTTATGTTTTAAAAGTGTAACAGTAATTTATATGCAAACAAGGCCACAGTGCAGTCCTTAAAATAGATATTGTCAGTTGAAAACTTTACATTTTGCTACTATCCTGTCAGCAAGATGTTTTGAATATTTTAAAATAGAATAAAATGTTTTATGATCACTTGTTCTTTTGTATATTTGTGACATTAGATCAGGGGTGCCCAACCTTTTTCTTATGAGGGGCCAAAAACTAAACTTGATTGAGGGTGGTGGGCCGGAGGTAAATAAACCAAACTGTAAAGTTGTCAAGGTAATTTCCTAAATTATTATTATAGTTCATTATGTAATTTATTATATCATTTAAAAATATATTTAAAATACTTTAATTGTATATATAACTATACATTTTTGTACATTTAATGAACATCTTACAATAAATAACATAAACAATTTCATTCATAACACAAAAAAATACACTTTGCCTTAATTTGCTTGCTGATGTCTACTGCAATGTCCGCAACCATCAAGTGACTTTATTAAATAATTTTTTAAAATCTGATTCCTTCACAACATTTAATTAAAACATTTAATTCAAGTTTGCTTGAATTAAAATCAGCAGTTAGAAAAAATAGTAATGTACATTAGAAATGACAGTCTCTGTTGAAGGCATTTCCCTGAAAATTCCCCTATCATTTTCCTTCTCTTCTTAGATGGGATGGCGGGCTAAATCAAAGATTGCCATGAACCAACTTTGGCCCGCGGGCTCTAGTTTGGGCATCTCTACATTAGATGATGCATTATTGCACACATTTTAACTAGATTTATTTCCGCAGATGTTTAAATAGACATCGTGTTTAATTCATGCATGTTAAATCACTATTGTAAATGTACTTTATTTCAAACACCAAAATAAGATGTTGACCCAAATTCTTTTGCCTAATGAGCTTGAAATTGTAAACATTTGAACATTGTGTAACATTAGCTATGCATTACTAGATGTTTGATAATGGAGCCAAATAAGTCTAATGATATCAATTATTGGGTCGTGTCTGATGATGTGGAAAGCAATACATGAATTGGCCTACCATTCTGATACGTCAACATGTAAAATGTATAATTTACACTTTGGATTTTTGGTGTAAACATACAGTACATGGATGAATTTCTCCATTGTTTCAATTGTTTGCTGCTTGAGTTGAGGAAGTAAAATTAAAGCTGGTTATCAGCAATGATATGATTGAGTGGAGGTGATGTTAATTAGCATAAATATTGAATTGCATAAGTGAGGTGTGGAATTAAAGGCCATTGTCAAAGATGTCTTTTAACAATTAAATAAATAGTGATCATAGGGATGCAATTAGAAATACATTAACATACTGTAAACCGTGACTCTACTGTGGCATTTTCAGCAAGACAGGAAATAGAAATCCAATGTTTGTGAATACATTTCTTTGTCTTTTTTCTATTAATTTTATTTGTAACTATATTTCAGTACACTGGAGCACTCACATATGACGGGGTGACTGTCATGGCCACTGCCTTCCAGAATCTGAGAAAGCAGCGCATTGATATCTCACGCAGGGGGAATGCAGGAGAGTGTCTGGCGAACCCTCCAGCACCCTGGGGTCAGGGCATCGACATCCAGAGAGCCTTACAGCAGGTAAACAGAGCCGTTTACACAACAAAAGATGATGCAAGAGCGAGATAGAACAAGAGAACCTGCAAACCCCATATTTAGTCTCATATTTCTGCTGAATTAAAAGGGTAAACTATAAAGAAATGCACATGGCACTACAGTACATAACCTGTCCACAATCTTACAAAGTTGATTAAAGTCATCTTAATATTCAAGGTAATTTGATTCAGTGTCTTTATGCAATCACAGGTTGCTTTGGTTTCATCTGTTATCTGATGACATTCTCAGCAATCATTAAAAAAACTTAAATAAGGTGATTGGAGCCTCTGTGCATGCATTTATGCATATTAACGTGAGCAGTCAGCTAGTGTCGTAACTCCTTATTCGCATTGCTTTTCTTATTTTGTTTTTGGTTCAAGACCAAAAAGCTTTTAGGGGTAGAGGAAGAGACAGCCTGACTCTGATTTGTAGTATTTAAAATGCACAGAAAGAATGGACACAAACAAATGCTGCACAATATTATAGCAAAGGGTATTTTCTACGTTTATTTGTTGAGGTTTTTCAATTACAATTTAAAACAGTACGTTACCTCTCCCCTACCTATCTCCAATTTTAAATCCCAGGTTAAAACCTTTCTGTTTAGGATTGCTTTTAATGACTTTCTGGATTAATATTATTTTTTATTACTTTTCTGTCTTGTTTTTATAATGTACCTGTGACATACTGTACGGTGTCCTTGAGTGTTGTGGAAGGCGCCTATAAATAAAATGTATTATCATTATTATTAAATAAATAAATTTATTCTAAAGGTCAGGGAGTTCCTCAAAGTATTTTATAAAGGGGACCAATTATCTAAGACAGGCATGCCCTAACTATTTCATATGACAGGCCAAAAACTAAATATCATTGAGAGCCGCGGGCCGAAGGTAAATATACCAAATGATATTACTTTAAAGTAACCATTGGTAATTTTTTCTTAATAATATTTTAGAATTAATATAAAACATTACTTCAAACATAATACCTAGTGCAGTATAACTTTTTACATTATTTTTTTTAATAAAACATAAACAATCACATTTATAACACAATGGAGAAAGCTAAATACACTAATCAAGCAAAATCTTGATTTGCTCACCAAAGTCTGGTGAAAGTATGTACAGTACATTTAAACAAAATCTTATTAATTTACACCATTTAGTTGAAACATTAAATTTAAGTTAGCTTTTAACAATAAAACCAACAAACCCTACTTTTGGCATCTTTGGTCTTAGAACTTGCCTTTTGAGCCTCGAATTATGTATTTAATCTTTTCCAATTAAACGCAAGACATCACTTCATTTATCCAGCCAGCGTGTGTTGGGGGTCTACTCTTTTCCACTAAAATTAAAAGTAGTAGTGTTAGTAGTGTTGTGAAAGCAATAGCCAAATGTATATCTTTACCGAGATCTGCAGTATATTCTCAGCCATGACACCAAAAGTGACTATCAATGGATCTGGGTCAATTGGAATGCCATATATCGGTTCGTATGTTTCAAAAATCCCCTTCCAAAACTCTTCTAGCTTGGGAAAAAACTAGAACATATGAGCAGTGGTAGCAGGTGATTGTGAACATCTACCACATGCAGGGCTAACATTTGGGTATTTTTTTTTCTAATTTAGAGTTAGTCAAATGTAGCCTATAGAGAACCTTACATTGTCTAGCACATAGTGAGGATGAATGCAACTTTGTTAAAGCCCATTCTACATCTGAAAATTCTCTGCTAAATTCATCTTACCAAGCTTCATGATTAAACTCCTAGTTCTGCGGGTTTGTAGATGTAATAATTGAATATATGCTTGAGATGAGACCCCTGTTCTGTGTGTTCAATTCAAGCAAATTCTCAATGGGTGATGTAGGGGTATTTCTGGGAAGAAAACAAATACCTTCTTAGTGAGACTCCAAGGGTATTTTTAAAGCACCAGATTTTCTCTAGTTGCCTATAATAGCCGGCAACAAGCTCTTTGCAACTCTCACATGGTCACCCACTGAAGCTTAGCAGGGCCAGCAGAGGCCACTCAACCTGCTGTCTGTGTGGGTCCAAATGCCCCAGTAAAGTTAAGGGGACACTATGCTGTCAGTGAGTGGCGTCTTTCAGATCCTGACTCTCTGTGGTCATTAAAAGTCCCAGGATGTCCTTCAAAAAATACTTTTTTGCCCACTGGTTTCTGTCCTAACCATCCTCATACCATCATTGGCTTCATCACTCTGTCTCCTCTCCACCAATCAGCTGGTGTGTAGTGTGTGACATGTCGCAATATGACTGCCGTTGCATCATCCAGGTGGATGCTGCACACTGGTGGTAGATGAGGAGATTCCCCCCGATGTGTAAAGCGCTTTGAGTGTCCAGAAATGTGCTATATAAATGTAAGGAATTATTATTATTAATAATAATAATAATTAATACAATTATATTAATATTAAAATGTTTATATTGTTATGAGTAATAGTAATAATACTAGTTATTTGTATTATTATTATGGTTCTTGTTATACATTATTGTTATTATTATTGTTATTATTATTATTATTATTATTATTATTATTATTATTATTATAACCTTTATTTTACCAGGAAAGACACATTGAGATTAAAAATCTCTTTTACAAGAGCTCCCTGGCCAAGATTGGGCAGTACACAAGTCATATGAGTCCAACAGTTAACTAACAAAAAACAATTTACAGTTAACATGAATCACACCGACAAACTATTCAAAACATCTATAAACCTGTGTTTCAACTTCTAAATCTTTTATATTCTTTTTAAAAGCATGTAGTTAAATCAAGTCTTTGAACTGCAACTGTTTTTGCAGATTATTCCAAGCAAAAGGTGCTGCGTACTTAAAAGCCTTTTTTCCAATCTCAGTGCGCACTTTAGGAACAGACAGTAAATAAATATACTGTGACCGAGGACCATAGTTAAGAAACAGGCTTTTCACAAATGTAATTCTGGAGATGTGATGGGAGTAAACCCAGTATAGATTTGTAAACAAGGATATGCCAATGCTTGAGCCTACGAATGGACAAAGCAGACCAAACTACCATAGTATACAGCACACAATAATGATGAGTAAGAGATTTAAAATTTGTTATAAATCTAAGTGCACCATGGTAAACAGTATCTAATGCATTCAGACTTTGAGACGAAGCATGTATATAGATAACATCACCGTAGTCCAATGTCGACATGAATGTTGCCTCAACCAGCTTCTTTTTAGCATTAAAAGAAAGGCAGTTTTTAATTCTAAAATAGAAGCCTAAAATCATTTTTAATTTTTTCACCAATTGCTGAATGGGAGTACTAAAAGAAAGTGTATCATCAATTAAAACTCTGGGACACCAATTCAATCTCTGCACCATGAGTAGTAGCAATAGGACCTAATTTTTGCTTAGCTTGTTTTGAATTTGAAAATAACATAAGTTTTGTTTTATTGGCATTTAAAACTAATTTTAACTCAGATAGATTTTCTTGAAGTACATTGAAAGCGATCTATAGTTGAGAAAGGGCCAGATTAGGTGTAGATGCAGCCATGTATATAACTGTATCATCCGCATAATAATGAAAATGGGCATTTTTGATATTTTTGATCAATATTATTTATATATATATATAGTGAAAAGAAGAGGCCCTAATACTGAACCCTGTGGAACTCCTTTAGTTACAATCAAAGTTCTAGAAACAAGGCCATCCGCTTGCACACATTGATTTCGATTTGTAAGGTAGTTTTTAAAGCAACCAATAGCATGATCAGATAAACCAATACTTTTGAGGCGTTGTAACTATCACTACTACAGATACTCATAATACTACTAATAATTAATTAAATATTTATTTAAATATACCTTCCAATTTTTCCTAGCAGCAAATAAGTATAATAAATTAATTTAAATAAATATGATAAGTTTTTGTACCCTTTTTCTGAGATCTTAATGTACCAATGTCCCATATGCACATTATAAGTAAATTAAGTAAACTTACTGTTTATTGCCAGCCAAGCCACTCTGAGACAGTGAAAACACTGGGTCATTTGCTGTTAATGTTTACATATAAACACTGTTGTGCTTCACTCTAAAACACGCAGTGAATGTATTTAATAAAACCACTGTCTTTGCCATTTGATAATGGCACTAAGCCATAGCTATTTCATTTTTATTTCAATTATTCATGCAGCCCTAAAATAAGTGTCATTTGACTCCCTGTACAAAAATGTAAATCAGCTTTCACAGATAGTGAAGTTCTGCGTATGCTAATATGAGCTGATGAACAATCCGATTATGTGTGATTCTCTCTCTGTAGGTGCAGTTTGAAGGACTTACAGGACATGTTCAGTTTAATGACAAAGGACATCGAACCAATTTCACTGTCAGTGTGATGGAGTTTGGCCCAAGCGGACCCAAAAAAGTAAATGGGATTGTTTTTTTTTTCTCTGCTTGCACGCAAATGAGGCTCATTAATCCCAATGAGCATGCATTCTAACTTTTCAGTGGAAATCTGAAAACATGTTCTTGACATTCTCCTGACATAAATTTGATTGCTAATGATTAACCTGAGGTTGCACCTGAAACTTCAGCCCCGGCTGTGATGAAAGCGAATCAAGTGTTAGTCACAGACCGGCTTAAAGAGCCGCGTATGCATTTCAAATGATTACAGCTCCTCTTAAGCCGTCAATATGAATATTTAACAATCTAAAAATAGTGGCTCTGAAATTCCTGTGCGCTGCTGTGATATTCCTCCCTCCTGCCTGCAGGTGGGCTACTGGAATCAACGTGAGAAATATGTGAGCACAGCTACTTACAGCAACATGCTCAACGAGACGTTCGGACTGCAAAACAGGACCTACGTCGTCACTACCATCCTGGTGAGTTTGTCAGTACAGCTTTTTTTTTGTTCCCCTGATCTGGCAATGCATCCCATCAGTGTGGATTACAAGTCATCAGTGTCATCAAGATGAAATGCTGCGTGTGTTTTTTCATGCAGATAATGATCTGGAGGTGTGTGACATATAGCTGAAGTCTGCACTAAACAGAACTGCACAAATGAACTCTCCAGTCCCAAACTCTTAAAAATAAAGGTGCACTACACTGCAACAGAATGTTTTTCTTAGATTTTATTTTGTCTTGTTTCTAGTGCAAATATATATATATATATATATATATATATATATATCTGTCTTTCGGAAGAGATGTTAAACCGAGGTCCAGACTCTCTGTGGTCATTAAAAACCCCATGGCACTTCTCGTTAAGAGTAGGGGTGTAACCCTGGTGACCTGGCTAAATTCCCTCCATCGGCCATTACGATCATGGTCTCCCAATCATCCCCATCCCCGTCTATCCACTCCACCTTTAGCTGGTGTGTGGTGAGCACTCTGGTGCCATTGTCCTGTGGCTGCTGTCGCATCACCCAAGTGGATGCTGCACACTGGTGGTGGTATGGAGAGACTCCCTTTCATGATTGTGAAGCGCTTTGGCTATATGGCCATACACGATAAACGTGTTATAAAAAAAATTGCATTACTTACTTACTTACTTTAAAAATTCTTAAATCAAGAAGTATTTTCTAGACAAACAAAGCATATCATCTTGCTTTTAGAAATAATATGCCAAAATGTATTTGTTGTTGAATAACTGATTCAGTTATTCACAGACAATTTCAAGATATATTGTCTCAGTTACCTGCTCTATACAATACAGAAGACTTCAGTAATACTGATAAATGTGTTTTCACATAAAAAAATGACATCTTTTTACGTAAGCTGGGCTTCTTTCATTCAAGTTTAGTTAAAGTCCTCTTATTTTACTCTTGAAGAGGCTTTTCTTTGTTTTATTTAAAAATGTTTTACTAATTGTAATATTAAAGTTCTCCCTGCGTTCGCGTGGGTTTCCTCTGAGTGCTCCAGTTTCCCCCACAGTCCAAAGACATGTGGTACAGAAGAATTGGGTAGGTTAAATTGTCCGTAGTGTATGAGTGTGAATGAGTGTGTATGGATGTTTCCCAGAGATGGGTAGCTGCTGGAAGGGCATCCGCTGTGTGAAACAAACGCTGGACAAGTTGGCTGTTCATTCCGCTGTGGCAACCCCAGATTAATAAAGGGACTAAGCCGAAAAGAAAATCAATAAATGTTTAAGGTTCATGTCAAAAGCAGAAAAAGGAACAAACAATACAGCTATCATTATAAATATAATTTTACAAGGGTTTCACAGTGAACCTGATACATCATAGAGTATTAGATGTGCATGTTTTTAACTAAGGTAGTGTGCTTTTTATTTTTTTAAATGCACATGTGTTATTATAAGCTTATGTTATTAATGTTTTTAAATATAAAACATGAGCAATATTATTTAAAAGTTTATTTAAAAAAGTAACTATATAAAAATGTTTAACAATTTTAACCTAAACCAGGTTATGTGTTTGTTGTTGAATAACTGATTCAGTTATTCACAGAAAGTTCTGTAATTCAGTAGTTCACAGTAAAGTGAAGTGGCTTATGGATGTTATGAATGGACCGTTGAATCACTGACTCATTTGATTAATTCAAAAACACAGATTCTTTCATCAATGAACACCTTGTGATTAGACTTGTTGACAGCACTGCAAATGCAGACTTATTTGAACAGCTTGAAATATTATAGCAAACTGACTTAAACAGGCATTATAACTGTAACCTAAAATTATCTCTAGCGTTTTTTATGATATTTTAATAATCATATTTTGATGAAGTTCCTGTCCAGTGTTCTAGAACAAGGACGAAATAATAATAAATAATACAGTCACCATGTACTCTGTGATGTTTTTTCTGGTATTACTTGTTCCATGGTTTAAATAAAAGATGATTCAAATTCTCAAAATTCATCACTGCATGATCCTGCACTCAGAAGAGTTTGTTCTCTGCCTCTAGGGTGAATCTCCATCCTCTCAGGAAGGTGAGAGGTAGCGTGAGTCTTCTGAACCCTGCTGGGTTTACTGTTCTGCTCATTACGGACACAGTTTGTGGGCTGACTCCGAGTTTTGAGTGGCTATTAATCTTATTTCAGTGCAACTCCAAAAAGAAATACCTTCATCCCTTGAGGACTCTTCTTTGACTGTAGTTAGACCCTTACAGTATTGATTTGTCTTTTGTATGGCTGTAATGTCATACCTATGCTGTTCATAATGTGTATTCGATGTCAATACACATAATGAACATTGTGCATTGTCGTATACATATTTAATATACATGATTTCATCTCTGTTTCTTCTCCTTGTTTTTTTTCCCTGTTGATGTTGTTTTGTGCATTCTATATGATTGAACTGAACTCTTTCATTATTTATAAGCTGAGAAATACGCTGGAAATGCAAGATCCATTTGATGTAGATGATGCAAGGTTTTCTTCCAAGCCTCTTTGAATCACGCAGTAACTAAAGAACTACACTGATCTGGCCTGTACTACAACACAAAAGACTAAATGCACAATTAACCTACACTGTGTTTCTGTGCTTTTTGTTTGCAGGAAGCTCCATATGTGATGCTGAAGAAGAACCACGAGCAGCTAGTAGGGAATGATAAATATGAGGGTTATTGTGTGGAGCTTGCGGCAGAAATCGCCAAACACGTGGGCTATTCCTACAGACTAGAGCTCGTGGGAGATGGAAAGTATGGAGCCAGAGATGCAGAGACAATGATGTGGAATGGGATGGTTGGAGAACTAGTGTATGGCGTAAGTAGATATTATCATTGAATATTTTGTGTGGTAGAGATTGAATGATTGACTGTTTTATTATATTTTCAATTAAGTTTTTCCAGTTTTCCATTAATTAGTTAATTAGTTTGTTTACTTAACATTTTTTTTATTTTATATATATTTTTTTAATTTAAATTGTATTTTATTGCAGAGGATTGGTATATTAGGTTTGTGTCGAGCATACATTAAGAGCCACACTAGGCAGGAAAACATTAAGTATATGTAAAGATTATCAAGGTCAGTATGGCATGGATTTATTGATTGATTAATGATTTATTAACAAAATGTTTATTGGTTGATTAATTGGATGATTGATAACATTTTTATTTCCTTTCTAATTTACCTGTATTTTAATTTATTTTATTCTATTTTATGTTTTGATATTTTTAATGTTTAGTTCACCCTAAAATAAAGTAGTTTTCCTCAATCTAATCTAATCTTTGTTTATTTTCACACAAATTAAGATATTTTAGATAAAATCCGAGAGCTCCCTCATCCTCCAAAGACAGCAACAGCCCTGATACGTTCAAAGTCCCAAAAAGGCACCAAAATCTTTGTCAAAACATTCACTGTAAAAAGTTTAGGCCAGTAAAAAAAAAAATCTTTATTTCCTTTTGCTTTTTCTTGTTCACTCAACTTTTAAAAACATCAGCTGCTCTCACCTAAAATTATTTGTCAGAAATACAAACAACAATTAGTTGGGTTAAAATAAGATTATTACTTTTCTGGAGAGGTGAACTACTCTGTAACAAAACTTTCTAAGTTATTCCAACTAATAATGTTTTTGTCTGAAGAACTGGAATGCCTGAAGTTGAGAATGATTTTATTGTGTACTCAAGGTTTTTTTTTTCACTTTTAATTAATAGGACAGTAGAGAATATAGACAAGAAAGTTTGGGGAGAGGGGCATAGAACCTCGAGGCGGGAATCAAACTCAGGTCTCCGTGAACACCGGAGTGCCATGTGACGACACACTAACCACTATGCTATTGGCACCAACGTATCCTCAACTTTTGAAAACATCAGTTGCACTGAACTAAAATGTCTGAAGTTGAATGAACAAAAAACTCTTTTGGATATTGGTATTAAGAAATAATACATTTTCAAAACAAACAAACAATCATATTTCAACTTAAAAAAAGAGAAAGCCATGCTTCACATGTAAAGTTTGTCCTGACATGTTTTGATGCTTGTTTTGTTTACTGTTATTGTTGTTTTACCTCCTGTCTTGTTTCTAATTCTGTGTCTAATACATTTTTTGTTAACATTTGTCTCTGTTTTAATTTTTTTTAGTTGAAGTATGTTTGTTTGTTCTGATAATGTATCATTTATTAATACCAACTCCCACAAGAGTTTTTGTTTTTTGTTCACTCAACTTCAGCAATTTAGGCCAGTGCAACTGATGTTTTCAAAAGTTGAGTACACATCGGCGCCAATGGTGTGGTGGTTATTGTGTTGACACATGGCACTCCCTCTCTCTCCTCTACCCACACTTTACTGTCTATGCTTTACTGTCCTATCAATTAAAGGTGAAAAAATGCTGAGTACACAAGAAAAAGAAAATAAGAATTATGTTTTTTTTTTTTTGTTGACTCAACTTTAAGCATTCCAGTTCTGCAGACAAACATTTTCAGTTGGCACATTTTAAAAATTTGTGTTACAGAGTTCAACTCTCCAGAAAATAAATAATCTTATGTTAACCCAACTAAATGTTTTTTGTATTACTGATAAATAAGTTTAGGTCAGTGCAGCTGATGTTTTCAAAAATTAAGTGAACAAGAAAAAACGAAAGCAAATAAGGATTTTTTTTTTTTGTACTAACTTTTTAGAGTGATCTATGTGACTTCAGTGGTTCTGCTGAAACTGTTCATATGAAGCTGCTGCATTTTGTGTGACAAAAAATAACAGCAAATGTAATTTTGCCTTCGTCTCCCATGTTTATGCACATTTACTGCAGACAATACCACACTTTGATCACACATTTATTTAAATTTGCACTGTTTTTGCTCTCATGCATTGTTGCTCCTCGTATATAGTTGTACTGACACTATGCGGCTTTGCGAGTTTACTTTGCGAGTTTACACTATGCAAGTTTACTGTCTTTAATTTATTACAAACATGCACTGTTTTAACAAAGAGTTGAACAGATCTTTTAATCCAAGTTCCTTTGCAAATTCTCTTTTGTGGACTTGTTTATATACATAACTACAGAGATGCATATATGTTAATATGTGCCTGTCAATTAAGTCAGTGGGTGGGGAAAACCACACTCTTATGTCATGCTGCAGTGGGCTTTAAAATCACTGGAATGTGGACTTTTGTTTATATCAATCCAATATGACTGTGGACACACTATATCTACACATAGTTCTGTCCAATCAGCTTCCAAAAGTTGATTTTGCATCATAGGTACCCTTTAAGTGTAAGTGCGTCTGTATCACACATTTAGAATATATCTGCATTTTGTCCATTTCCTGAACGCAATCTCTTTAACAATGACAAAAAAAATAAATAAAAAAATAAATAAACAGCAATGTGTACAAATTTTGTCACAGAACAAAGAACAGGACATGTTGTCTCCAAACCTCAATGCCTCTGGTTGAACAAAACATTTTTTATTTGGTCTCTCATCAGCACTCATGAAAAAGATTTCCCCTCCTGTCCTGTCTCCTCCCCTCATGTTAGAACAATTTCTGATTTTGCAATATAGCAAAGAGTCCAGGCACCCTACTAAAAAAAGGCCAATTAGATAGGTATAGTTAAGAATACCAAAAAAAAGTGTTTGGTTTTCATAGCCACTCTTAGTTCTTGGTTGTAGTTTCTTTTTGAGAGCATGTTTACCCTGAGGCTGCAGCATTAGTGGCTTTGGAAAGCTAAGCAGTGTCAGATATAGTCTGTCTTCGTTGGGCTAAATGCGAACACTCCAGCTCAGTGTTGTCAAGCGGCATTCGTTACTATTCTTTTGTGCTTGAAGAAAATACAGCATTATTATAAAGCACGGAAAGAGTGATAGTGCACGAGGGATTCTCTTGAGGACATAGCGCTGAGTAGAACTGACTCTGTAGTGATCCGTGATACTTGAAGTTATTTATATGTTCGGCTGCTTCTAAAATTGTAGATAAAGCTTTTTGTTGCTTTGTGCTTGATTTGTAATTCCAGTGAGTTCTGAAAACCTACTGAGGAAAAGTCTTGTTGTGTGTGAAACTGGATCTCAAAGCTTTGTAATACACATTCTGAATGTTTGATTTCATCACTTTCTGTGAAGCCACTCAAAGCATGAGTAGTATGCTTTATTGTTAACGTAGTAAATCACACAGGACCAAAAATGAAAATGTATTTATTCATTATTCACCCTGGTGGTATTCCACTCTAATATGTCCTTCTTTACTTTCCATAAAAGGATAAAATATTTTAAAAAATGTCATGCTCACCCACATAATGTTGATAAATAGCAATATTTTAAAGTTTTAAATAACAACAAAATGACAATTCGAGAATTTGACACAAACAATAGCTGTTTCTCAATTTCAACAATGCAGAAAACGGACTTGTGTTTTCGTGAAAACCATCGTTAGCCTGATAAGCTCGCAAGTTGCATTGTTACAAACATAGTTAATTGATTTGGCATTTCCCAAATTAGTCAATCCAATGAACATTCGCAAACTGCATTTCAAACTTTTACGCTTGCCACTACCCTTCTAGAGCTGTAGTTAGAAGTATACTTGCTGGTTGTGTTCTATCCCCAGTTATCCTCCATTTAGAACATTCTCACATTTAAACTTGGAATGATAAAAAAAAACATTCAAATCATCTCTCTTAGGTGTAATTTGCTTTCAAAATCATTTTACAGTTCAGTTTTAGTGATCTTCACATTGATAATTGCGCTCCCTTTGTAGTGCACTTTTAAAACAAATGCCATTTTGAACGCAGCCGTGGATCATGACGAAAGCTAGAGGTGACTAATTATTTAAAACCCGAATTTATGTTACATCTCCAAAGCTTGTAAAAGAAAAGTAAATAGCATACATTAATGCTTTAAATTTGTAGTGCGTTAATTATTAAGAAATGTATCTGTTCTGTATTTGACATGGTTAGAAGATCTCTGCAGTGGTTTGAATGTGTGTCAAATTGTAAAAGTAGGCTTTTCTAAAAAAATGTAATGAAAAATAAATAAGCATTATCCTACTTAATAAAAATAATAATACTAATAATAATAATAATTATTATTATTATTATTATTATTTTAAGTATGATTTTTTCATTTCTTAATAACTACCCTACTGTAATTAGGCCTACAATCATTACCGACTGATATGATTTATACATGAGATTAGAATACATGTTAGCCTAATTTTATATGGAATATTTTTTAATAATATTTGTAAAGGAAACATATTTAGGTTCTGTATGTGTCGTTTACGTTTCTTTTAAATTATGTGGAAAAACGAGTGCACGCTTTTACCAAAAGTAATATTGCATTTAGTTTTTTTTTAAATACGAGTGTGTGTAAAGCAAAATACATAGTTCAAACGATGGATCTGCAACAGTTGTTTTTTTTTTAGGGAAAAGACTACTCACTACATTGTTGTTTTCCCAAATAATGCATTGAACTATGATAGTTTAGCTGTGAGTTACGTCGTTGTTTGGGAAATGCACTCCTGGCCAGGTTAACTCTGTAGGCGAAAACACAGAAAGTGTCCTGTGAGAAATCAGATGCTGCATTCTTCCTAATGGCCACTTGACCTTCACATATTTTTAACGAAAAATTATTTAAACATTACAGCATTCATACAATGATTTATTGTTTTTCCCATTTCAATATATAACATACACAAAAACCTTACAAATATACTTTGCACAATACAAATAAGCCAATTTTAATACAAAACTTGGCAAATAAATACCCTTTAAATGTCTTTATTAGGATTTTCATGGTAATGCTTACTTTCACAGTTTTATTCAGGAAACCTCCTGAGA